GTGACTGGTCACAAGTTAATCATAATGAAAATGGCAAAGTGGTCAAATTAAAGTTTTATTGAAGCTGTAGTCATAAGAGTAGTACGGGAACTATTCCAGAAGACAAACGCTGGCTTCATCTGTTGACTTACAACTCTCCCTTGTGGGCTTGGAGGACATTGCACGAGTGAACCTGTTCATGCTCACCTTCACCTTCTGTTTTATTTCTCTTTTCTCTATGTTCTACATTGTCTCATTCAGATCTACAGAAGCCAACGTCACAGGTGCTTTGTCCGTAAGTGCAGGTCAAACTAAATTCTCGATTTAACGCTTTATTTCTCTTTACAAATACTTCCTTATTTTAATTGTCGTACTACACCAGAGTTGGAAACAAGCTGGAAATAAAATCAAAACTATCTGCAAAACGCTTCGAGAAGTGCAGAGAAATTCACATGATAATAATAATGTAATAATTAAACATAATGATATGTATCACAAGCAAAACAATTGAACAACAGGCTGTTGGTTAACAAAAAACAGCAGTTGCATAAACGTGAGTGTACAAATACCAGCGTGATGGCTGATTCCCATCAGCACACGTTGATATTCCCTGTGATCGCAGGTGTGTCGGTGTCCTATAGGACGTGTCTCGGGCCAATCACAGCCGCTCAACACCAACTCCTCTTGATGATTAGGTCAAATAATGAATTAAATAACGCAACAATGAGCCTCGAGAGGCCGTGTTTTACATCTCAGAGGCGTTGATAGGCCTCATCACGATGCCGAGTGAGGGTTCCTATTGTTTCTTATAATCAGCGGCAAGACTCTTGCAGCAAAACACATTTATGACAAAGTGAATCCATAATTATATTGTTTCTGAAAACAAGACGGTTAGATAGTTGTATGTTCAGCTTTTGTTTTGGAATAATAATATTTATGTCCCTAACTAACAGCAGCCGATGGGTAAGTGATGCAATGGTTATTGATGAAGATCTTTCACAAGCTCACAGTTAAGCTTCTATAGTTGGGTGGAAAGACAATCTTGCATTGTTTCACTCTAAAGTGCATTTTAAGAGTCATCGTGAAGGTATTCAACACAAAGTACTGAGTCTTAGTGTCTCGTAAGCAGACGGACAATCCATCTTCTCCTTTTATATGCAGTGGAGAGCTAAACAGAAATTCCAATAGAATTTCCGAAAGACCTTCAAACTAATACAATATGCAGTTTCATCAATAGTTTCTTTCTCTTTAGCAACTCTCCCAACTTTCAAATCCCACTAGATCTTCTAACATGCTTAAACTTCTAAAGTTAAACCTTTTTAAATATAATCTAATGAGACGGAATCAGTTGCTTGCAAGCAGATGATCTTCCAAAGAATGACAAACTTTCAGTTTGCGGCGAGTAAACAAAACTATGTGAACTAACATGTGATATTTAGCGCAACTTCAGAGCAGCATACTGATCTGATTAGGAGTAATTCTTGTCCATCGACATGATGTGCGACACTAAAACATCCCCCTGATTCCGCTTTTCTTCTGGGCCTACGTTCCCCTCATGGGATTAATGTCCTACAAACTGTTTTATCCAACACATTTGAAGATTGTTCTCTCGTTTGGATGTGAGCAGAAAGGGGGGGGGGGGGTACCGCTCTCAAACACGCACAGCTTTTATCTCTATTTACATCGGCAAAGTTGTTCCTCGTTCGGTTTGAAGGATGTAATACCCTGAAATTTGCTTTTTGGCGGACCCCCCCCCCTGTAACAAAGACTATTTATGCAAATGCGGAGGAAAGCACTCCCGGACACAGAAGCAGATGTCCCCCAACAGGCTGCCGTGCGGGTCGGCAGATGTTCCGTCTGCTTTGAACAAAGGCTGTTGATGGCTCTGCGCTGCGTCAGGAGCTGCATCTCCTGGGAGCCATCTGAAAGATGGCCGAGGTTTCGTTTGGCTGCAGCCGGACTCGCACTCACCGGGAGAGTGAGGACGCGGATTGAAATGAGTACCGATGTAACAAAAAACTGCAGCGGACTTTGCTCTGTTTATGTAATATTTGGACACACGGACAGATCAGGTACTGTTGGACCACATTTAAGATTGGGGGGGGGGGGGGGTTGGCATGTTTTTGAGGGACCTGATGACGCGATTATGTTGATTATCTACAGTTGATGTGAGGTCTTTTTGGAAAGAATCTGTTTATTTATTCATTTTTTGTTCTCATATAAATTGTTTTGGAGAGTCTATAAGCAACACAGATAAAAACCCCTTGAGGAACAACAGTGTTAGAGTGGTTTTCATTTGTATTGGAGTTGATCTATAATGTCACCATGGATGTTAAACTTAAGCATGGAGGCTGATTCATGTCGAGCACAGCTACAAATTAAGATCATTCTGCCTCTCCAGAACCACCTCGTTGCTTCCCCGCCGATGATATCTGGAAAATCGGATGAAATATCAAAATGGAGTCACTATAAGAGGACGTCATATTAACATTAATAATAATAATAGCTAAAAAACACTTAGGTCTGGGATGCAAACATGATGTGTTTAGCTATTGGATATGAAATTCCAAAGTCAATCACATCGCATCGGAGTGTAGTAAACTCCTTTTAAACCAGTCAACTGTGCAGCAATACAGCGAACCTGGTGAGCAAGCACTCGATGGTGAACCAACCCCGTTAGAAGCAAATTAAAGCCGGACCCATCGGTGCTTCAACCTCCCAAACCCACAGCTCTTGCTTTAGCCGCCGATGACCCTGAGCTGTACCACCCACAGCTGCCACAGAGCGCCTGAACCCTCGCTGACCCGGCTGGCACATCAGGGGTCATAGGACCTACCACGTTGTCCCCCCCCATACGACCACCGCCATGACAGATACCAGACTGTGTGTGTGTGTGTGTGTGTGTCCCCTTTCCCTCTCTCTTTGAAGTCCAGAAAAACCAGCAGCGTTCACCACCATCCACAAAGCGGCGTGAAGCTACAGCCCTCAGCTGCCTCCCCTTCAGAGGGACATGTCAAAACAGCACACGGCTCGGCCCCCGCCAAAGTCACGCCTGCAAGTGGAGCGCTATCGTGTGTCAACCGGAGCGAGAGAAGGGCGCCGATCCTTCACACACACCTCCGCTCCGTTTTTGGGCCCAACACGTTTTGTGGCGTGTACCCGGTGATCAGCCGCGTTTGGCGGGATTTGGGGTGTTTCTTTCGGAAATTGAGACGTAGTGTAAATGAAAGTGTTTGGCATAAAGGCCTTCGAATGTATTGATTTGGTATTTTCCAAATATAACTCTTAAAAAAAACATTTACATTACCCGTAACTGGAGAGTTACGGGTAATGGAACTGAAGAGGCCACCTTTTACCACATTCTTTTCCACGACAATGAGCCGGAAATTTAGAGTCAAGTGGACCATCTCGCTCCCATAAGAGGGCTTTTCCAGACAACCTTGTCTTCTCGCTTGGTGCACTGCTGGCAGGAGAGCGACATTGAACAGCATAAAACGTCATTGATTTCTAATTGCGTCTGCGCTAATGCTACGTAAAGGCCCGACCCCGGCCTCGTTCTTCCAGCCCGTAGTCCATTTGGCTGTGGCAATGCACTTGGCGAGCGAGGCAACAGGTGAGTGGCCGAGAGTCTAATGGGGCCAACTCTGGAAAACCCATTGCAGTCAATTAAGGGTCCACTGCCTCCAGTTGTGACGGCCATTAGACCGCACCACCACGACGAGTGACTCCTACCCATCGCTTTTAATCCATGGTTTGTTCGAAAGGTCCAGACCCTCAAAGACCGACTTTGCGCTCGTTTTTTTTTATCGTCCACCGTCCAACCTTTCTAGGTTCTATTAAAAATTAAGTTTTCCACTCAAGGATTTTATGTGACCCTGATGGTCAAATATAACCTCCTTCACTACCTCTTTATCCGTGTTGACCTCACATATTCTAACTGCCCCACTTCACCACACAAAAGGCAGCATGGCTCTTACTTCCCCTCAAGGGAACAACCTTTTCGAATGCTTACCCGCACACAATAAACTCATTTAGTCCAGAGCATTTCTTCGGCAAATGCATTTACTAGATTTCATGTCTAGTCCTTCAAAATGTCCCAGCCTGGAAGACACACACACACACACACACACGTCAGCGGGAGGTTGATTTTCCCCCAAAGTTGAGCACTAATATCAAAATTGTACAACGGAAACATTACAGCTCGCCAACGTGGCGCAAGTTGACGAAATGAAGCGGCAGACATGCCAGTGTGGCGTCGAGCCTGCAGCAGCGTGCAGCTCTCCTCGTCGGGAGATCACAGTGGAACACTAATGTTTTATCGGGCTCACTGCCGATTTAAAAACTCAAAACCAAAATCAGCCTGCACAGGTAGGTGCCGAGAACGTTTGCTCCCAATGCGATGCACTTTATCCACTCGGGTCGCTCTCTAGAATCGTTCAGGCAGCTCTCTCGTGTCTGCACGAGCCCAGAAACAGCTCAGGAAAAGGAGGCCACCTTGCTGAACAGGAAGGGAAACCGCCGGAGGATGCAGTCGTCACTCAGCGGTATCACACGTTGTTTTGATTTGCTTCGAAAGAAGCAGTCAGTAAACATTGCGCTCCTTCAAGCGGCCCGGGTACGATTCAGTCGCGTTCGGCAGAAGTAATGCTCATTGTGACGGCGAAGCCATCGGGTTTCATCTCTTAGGATGTTGTGGTTTGAAAAGTGTGTAAAGACAATGATTCACGCCACTTCACACCCCGGTGTAACAAAAGGCTTTTCTTCCTCTTCACACGGATCGATAGAGGAACGCTGCATTCACAGCTTTTCATCTTTCAGCCGGTGAGCTGCAGCGTTTTAGTGCAGCTAAAACGATCTAAATCTCATATATATATATATATATACCTTTTTTTAACATGTGTTATTTGAGTAAATAGATTTCAGCAGTGATTGTGACAGATTACCCATTTAAACAAAATGAAACAAGCATCTAGTTCATTCTCTGGTTCGTTTGGATCAAAAGAGGAACTCTAAACACACCATCATTTTCAGGAGTTTTAATAATTTACTAAAAAAGAGTGTAAAAGTAACAGATCTCTCCCACTAAGGTGGATCTGTTCGATATTCAAAGTGATGACAGATGGAACATTTTTGCAAACTTGCCCGTGTCTGTACATTTGTGTACACTTACTTGGCAATTCAACCCCATGGCTGTAATTAAATGACTTTTGTACTGCATACTGTATATCAAAAAGCTCAGCAAAAAAAAAAAAAAAAAAAACTTGATATGAATCACTTTAAAGCAAACCGAACAGCATGAAATGTACAGCTTTAAGAAAATTCCAAAAAACACAGCTGAAAAGTGTATATACACACATGCTAGAAATGTAACAGAGAGCAGACTGGGCGAAGCTGTGGACGGGCCTTTCTATTGGTTCGCTCGGCGACATTTAGGAGAGCCAATGAAATAAAGCAACGTTTTTAAATATTTAATAACCTTGGTGTTCTGCTGCCTATTTGAAGTTTTTAAGCAGAGGAGGGACACTTTATAAATATAGAGTATACTGTATCTCCTGCATCAATTTGTTTAATTTAAATCCATTAAATGAAAAGGTAAAATGTTCGGTATCTGTAGAAAGTAAAAAAAAAAAAAAAAGATAAATGTTCATACTGTGTCCACTTCTAAAGAGACGCTTGAGTCCATCCTCCTTATCATTAAGTGCCTGCTTGGAAGAGGTAATATATATATATATGTATATTCATATATATATATATATATATTTATATCAAATTCTATGATATGATATAATTTGTATAAATATGGCATCTATACAATTGCATTAAAATTACACTTTTTTATTTCTGATCCCAAGAAAATTAAGAGTCAATTGGGAAAAAGGCCTTGTTTAAGTTTCTCCTTTTTCCGTTTTAAATATTAAAAATAAGTCTTAATTCTTTGCAAATGTATGTCATAACATCATAAACGACACATCTGGCTTTACTGGTCAAACATCATCCATCGTGTTCATATCTACAACACTTTGGAAGGTGAGGAAAAGGGCCCCTTTCCATTAAAAGTACAAGTTTCACCGACCGACTGCAAGAAGCATAAGAGTGCATTTCTATACAAAAATGTAAAAGCATCTTTGATGTAACAAAGCCATGTGTTTGAGTAGTCATGCCACTTTGCTGGTACAATAGGGAGTTAAGTGGCCCTACACAGACCCCCCCCCCCCCCCTTCACAGGTTTGGGTGGAAACAGAATGTTAAATAGCTTCTCCGTAAATGTCCGATGTGTCTTCAAATGCCGTTGAGGTGTAGCCCGAGTGGGGCGTAATGCAATTTTGATCGGGGGGGGAGTATCTGTGATATGTCAATAAATGGGCGTAGTCGGATAGATCCATTTGCCCCCCCCCCCCCCTCAGAAAGTACCATGCCTGACACAGGAGCGGTTGCGAAGGCACAGCCTGTGCTGGGTTTGCAGGGCGTCACGTTTGACATGTCACATTGTTGTTCGTTCTCCCTTCTTATTAATTACATTCCAAGCCTCGGAGAGTCTGACTTGCCCGTTCGCTCTATTCGGCCCCTGAATCCATGCGAGGCCGAAGCGGCAGAAGAGCTCCGCTGCCCCCTGGTGCCCCAAAGAGGGAGGAGGCGTAGGCACAGAGGAAATGAAGGTGCCCGTCAGCCCTCTAGAGTCGCCGTTGAAGTCTCACACGCACACTCAAAGCATGTTCAGGATGGCGTTGTACATCTGGATCAGCACGGCCAGGTGGACGGGCAGGCAGGACTGGCGGTCTTGCGTGGCAGGGCTGCAGGTCAGCCAGGAGAGGGCGTTGTACTGCTCCAGTACAAACCTGCGTTAAGGATGAACCCACGTTAGCGACTATTTACGTCCACTTCCATAACGTTTTTTCCCTCTGGATGTTGAACCTTTACTAAAGCTTTAATTTTCAACATTCTAAAACAGTAGTACAGCAGTAAACTATTTCAGCCGGTGCAATATTGATAGGCTATTAAAAATGTGCCATTTAACCATTATCATCATCTTTTTTTCGAAGATGTTTTCGCTGATAAAAAAACAACTTTAACACATTAATCAGCTCTTTGAACATAAGACTAGGAAAGATATTGCTTTTGTTAATGGGATTATTCGTGTAACCTGATGGAATTGCAACACATAAAAAACAGATATTTGAAATGAATAGTTTTGTATCAACTTCTTGAAAACACCATTAGCAAAAATCTAAAAATGGAGAAGATATTTACCTGAGCACATCCGAGGTTTTCTTGGAGTCTAAGGGGTGAGGGGGCCGCTTAGTCTTGTCGGATGCCAACTCATCCGTTTGAGCTATGGAGATGTGGTGGTGGAGGGAGGCCTGAAGTAAACAAACAAACGTTAACGCATTCATGGCCAAGCTGTACTGAGCGCCTGCACGCGTATTGGAAGTCCAATCACATAATCAAAAGCAACAGGCTGGACTGGCTGTGTCTCCTCTGTCTGACACGCGCGGTGTTTCCAGCACCTTGAGGAAGAGCGGACACTGGCTCTCAGCTTGCGGACAGGAGGCCCAGAACCAGTGAGGAAGTCCGCTGGCCTGAGCGGTGGAGACGTAGTAGCCCAGAGCCAGCGGCTGCTGCTTCAGCTCCTCTGGTGGACTGTCCCTGGACATCAGGCGCTCTCCCTGGTTCTGTGTCCGCAGGGGAGGGACAGTTATTAATTACAAACCTTTATTGTGACCCTGTTGAATGCTGGGTCATTTCATCTTTCCATCTACAGCGTACAGTCTCTGCACTGGCATGAGTGAGTTGTCCTACCTTTTTTTTTATTTTAATTTTTTTACAAAAACATGAAAAGAGCACTTAGAATCAATGTTTTTAATGTTGCATTAAAAGAGACCTCTGTAGTTCAGTTATTGCATTCAGGTTATAAAATGCACTACTTGTCGATCATTTGCAGGTTTCTTTCCCCATTGAGTCAAAAGGTTTGCAAAAGCATAACTGACACGCTTGCATCTTTAGCGTGCATGTCTATACGGAAATGCCATACGCGGCTAACTAATAAGTGGCTTTCCAGTTACTTTAAACTATAACGTGTGATAGTAAAGCTACACACTGTTCCCACAGCGGATCAATGCTGAATTAAAATGGTCCGTAATCTAAGTTGCCAACGTGTCTCTTCTCCTGTGCCTGCAAGACAAATTCCTCTGCGTCTTCATATTTGGCAAAACTAGAACTCTAATTGTTGTTTGATAAAGCGGTACATGTCACTCAGCAAAGGACTGCTGTAAATAATCAAACCTCAACCTGAGGAATGCGTCGTACTTCCAATAAATCATTTCTGCAATTAGCAGTTGCACAATGCAATCAAAATGCTCATCCGGATGCATAGTATCTACTCTCTAAGTAATACGGAACTGTATTACTTATAGAGTAGAAGTAGTAAAACTGTTTGTTTTCCTCCGCAAAGAGGACGACTCACCTTGGTGTGCTGGAAATGCGAGCCCATGCCCATCCCGGACGGAGAGCCTGGGGAGGGCACGGGGGAGGTGTTGGGGGACGGGTGGAGGTTGCCTGTGATGAGCATCATGTCGTGGCCAATGTCGTTCTCCAGTTCATCAGGAAAGGGCAGATCGAACATGTCATCTGAGGAGCGGGGGGGGGGAGCAACGTCAGCACAGCCCCAATTCAATCTTATATATGCTGTTGTAATTAACAACGAGGCATCACCAGTTTGTCATTTAACAGCAAAACAATTAGTATTCCCACATGACTTAATGGAACTACGTTATGTTTTGCACGCATAGCACGCTACGACTGTTGCCGCGCTGGCCGGTACCATTGTTGTCCTCGGTGGGGTAGGAGCTGGGAGCCAGCTGGGTGGTGGCAGAGGTTGGAAAGACGAGGATGTGTGTGCAGGAAGCATCCTGAGGCGTGTTCAGCTGCGACGTCTGCAAGTTCAGAGCAGTGCTGCGCCCGAAGACGGAGCCCATGGTGACCGCGTCTGCACACAGAGAGAGAGAAACGCGGGAAAGCAGAGGTGTCACCTGTAATAGGACTTTAAAAGGGTCTTTTAAAGTGATCGATGTACAATTGTATACAACATGTGGTGTTGCCACAAGAGACTAACCGGGCATGATCACAAAGGAGCCCTGCGGCTCCATGGCTACCAGGCAGGCGCTGAGGATGCTGGGGGAGTCGGCGGCTGAGATGCCACACATTCGACAGGCTTCCCTCAGCTGGCGCCCTATTGAATGGAGGGAATGCTCCCCGAGGAGTGAGCTCCAGTCTGGGGAAGAGCGAGGGTGGGAGAAACAGATGCAGTGGGGGACAAACAACAACATATTCAGATCCTCGGGAAGAGCAGTCTTCTGAGGGTAGCTAAAATGATTTACTAATCAGTCTGGATATTGTAGTGTTTTTTTAATGTTTATGGTTTTTATTATTATTGCTTTGTAGTCTTAACGCAATGGTATACGTTTATGTACGAGTTTTACGTTTTGGGGTTTACCAAAAGTTATTTAGTAATGTTTTTTTCTTTTCCTTTTATTTCAACAATTTATAAAGCACTTTGTTGAGATCACTTAATGAAGTAAAGATAAATAAAGAATTTAGAATATGTTTTGCTAAAATTATTAAATTACAAACTAGTCAGTGCCAGAGTGAAAGTGAAAAATGAAGTGATGATTTATCCAAATTATGATAACAGAAAATTATTTTATTTTGAAACAAACTGGTACTAATTAGTGAGTAAGTTTAGTTCATCAAAGCCCGTTTTCTTCTGCACACACGTTTCCCACCTTTCAGCTCTCCGTGCCCCAGCCTGCCTAATCGTCCAATCACAATCCTCCATGGCAGCGAGGTCATCTGGATGATGCCAATGCACCATTCCCACAGCTTCTGCAGTCCCATCTTTCTGGCTGAAACCTTGGGACGTCGCGCTCTGGAGTGAAAAAAACAAAGATCAGACTACTATCCAACCCTTACAAAGGAACAAAAAATAAAAAAGCACAACTGTACAAAGTATCACGCCCATAAACCACTTTCACCTGTTGGGGACGTCAATGTTGATGATACTGGTCTCCAGGAGCTCCCCCTGCTGGTCAGTGCAGGACACAAGGATCCAGCGCTGGTCATGTGATAGGCAGTACCCAACAAAGAGCACGTTGTATTTGGGAGGGAGCTCTGCCCAGATCTCCCCTGGTTCTGGCGGCTTGGAACGGGTCGGCCCAAGGATGAAGGGGGGCGTGTACAGCTGCAGGGGGCTAGGATGCTGGAACAGGGAAATTCAGATTTCAGAAGAAAGACCAAAGGACCCATACAGGCACGTGCGAGCGTATACCATGACACAAGTGGCTCAATTCTTACGCCTACCTCCGGACTCTTAAGTACAGAGTTAACATTTGACACTGGACCGAAGCCCGTCAGGGACTTGATGGGTGTTTGCTGGGGCAGGAGCCGTCTGCATTGGGAGTAGCAGGAGAAGGACAGGGAGCGCAGATGTTGCAGGTAGAAATGGCTCTCCCCGCTGGCCGGCTGGAGGAGGTATTGGCACGGCACCACCTGAGCAAGATGGAAACAAACTATAATGATCGCAAGAGGGAATTCTTCTTGATTCCTTTTCAGCGAAAATCAGAGAGGTCCTACCTGTAGCACGAGCGCAGGTCTCATTGTCTCGGGCAAAGTCTTCAGCATCTCTGTGTAGCAGCGAAGTAGCCCGAGCAGCCAAATGCTACTGGCCTCCACTTCGTCGCCCTCTTCTTCCTCTCCGCCTTCGTTTCTCGCGCCACTTGAGCTAAGAAAAGCATCCACTATGTAAATAACGATAGCCGGTGGGTTGGCGAGGCTGTCCATTGAATCGGCCACGGTGGGGATGCCAATCCTGGACTGCTCTGCCGTGCTGAGGGAGCAAGAGAGGAAACATAAATGAAAACAGGCGGGGCGATATTTGAAAGTGGAGATATTTATGGGATTCATTTGGGGTCTTACAGTTCAGGGTTTTCTGCTGGTGTGTTGGTTGGTGGCGTCGCACCGGGTGGACCTTTAGGGTCGCTCAGTGCACCTTGGGCTGTCTCCCCGGTCTGGTTCGAGGTCGCTGCAGTCGGGGTCGAAGCATTTGCTGAACTGACGGCCCCTGGAGCCGGTCCACCGTCAGGGCCCCAGGCCTGAGGCTGCCCGGAAGAGGCAGGCTGCGCTGAGGGTGCCGGGTGTGAGGGAGGCTGGACTTTGGGAGGCAACAGAAGGCTGCTGTCCAATGGAAGAGCGGACAGCTGGGGACCTGCAGGAAGGAACATCACATTAACTGATTTCGAAAACAAATCGGACGGCGTGCAACATAAGTGATGTTTTTCATTAGATTCAATTTGTCCGTTTCAATGTTCTCACCAAGCTGCTGCTTGCATGCATACGCGTAGAGTTTAAGTTTGCTGAGGTTGTCGCTGTGCTGCTGTCCAGCCCAGGGTCCGGTCACCCACTGGTCCACACCCAGCGCCTCCAGCTTTTCTGCTTCCACTTCTTCTCCCACGCGCACCAGGCCGTCCATGGACACTTTGGCCAGAGGACGGTGCTTCCCCAGGCGGCACGTCTGGGGAAAAAAAACGAGTCAAGGCGCCTTTTGTTAATTCCCTCATCGGAGAAACGGATGACGTTGTCACCGCAATGATTCAGACGTGTCTTACCTCATAGACGGCGCTGAGCTCCTGGAAGAAGGCGCGGGCTGCGGCCAGCAGAGACGGGCTACTGGGGCACAGGACGACATACGCCACGTCCCGCGAACCCCCGTAAGGCTCGAGTAGCAACTTCTCCCAGAAAGGCAACGCCAACGGGGACAACGCCAAGAAGTCCCTGTCGTAGCCCAGTAACACTGTCGGGATGGGCAAGGGCTCCGGTGACTCTTCCGAACCTTGGACGAATGGAAAAAGTAAAAATGTTTAGTTTATTAGTCTAATTATGACTTTCCTGTTCATTCCAGACCATCTACTTAAGAGCTCAATAGTCTTACGGGTAATGTGAAGTAAAAAACTAACACAGGGGAGACGTTTTTTGGAGTAAAAACCCGAAAATGTGTTGACTCACCGTAGGAGCCTCTCCCGGCCATCTTATGGAACTGCTGCCAGGTGAGCGGACCCTGAACATGCTGGATGTTTTCCCAAGTCCGTCCTGATCTCTTCTTCTGGATGGCATCCTGCAGGAAAGGCTGCAGAGACAGCAGCATACGGACCATGTCCTGGGACGACAGCATGTTCATGTCCGCCACTGTGGAGATTGGCAGACACACAAAACCAAAAAGGATGAACCGATGCACAGGCGTTAAGTCAACATGGTTCCAAACACAAATACACACATTGATGCACATCAAATCATATTCTCACTGAGGATCTAGGAAGTAAGGCTTCATCTAAAAAGGAATTGAGCATTTCTTTATTTGTCTGATGCACACTCCTCCAACCCTTTCTTACCATTTGTATGAGGCCAGGAGTGAAGCGCTGTACTTCTGACAACAGCTGGATCTACTTTACCTCCCGTGGAGTTATCCACATACTGTAAGCCCTGCTCCAAGGCATTGTAACAGTCCACGCAGGCATCGCTCCCGTCCGCCCACTGCTTTTCAGACGTCCAGCTTTGGAGCAGTGCCCCCATGCGGCCGTGGCAAGAACAGCTGAGGGGGAGATGCAGTGACGCAAAGGAGGAAATGGGCTGGGAGCAGTGCTCCTGCAACAGGATCATGACCAAAGGGGAGGCGGGGGCCGCGTCCTGCGCGCGCTTGGCCCTCGTGTCCCCCATGCTAGGGTCCCGTCTGCAGAGGGCCAGCCTCCTCTCGGCCGCCCGGCCGACCTCAGAGGTCCGGCCGTAAATATCCAGCTCGTCCTCCAGGAAGAGGCCCGTGCCGTGGGCCAGCCGCCTGTTCACAATGGCGCTGAAGCCGCACATGCAGCGGTACTGATCCTCGCAAGTGGAATCGGGGATGTACACCCCCACGTCCGCTCCTTTGACATTCATATTGCAGGCACAGATGCAGCAACTGTCAAAGTTGCGATCCTTGAAGACGTTGAGGACGGAGTCTGAGAGCAGGAGGATGGCGTACAGGCTGTGGGCTTCGGGCAGGGAGGGCCCCGGCCGAGCCAGAGGATCCACAGAGCTGAGAGGCAGGCTGGTGGAGGGCGTGGAGACCGGCGAGCTGAGCTCGGTACCATCCTGCTTCACCGAACCCTGCCCGGAGCTGGCGGCGTTGACGCCCCTCGGCGTGCGCGGGGTTCGTGGGGTGGGCACGGAGAAGCGGGGAGTGGCAGGAGATGGCAGGATGCCAGCATTGGTGCTCACAGAGGCAGTGGTGGTGCTCATCTGGCCATACTCCTGGTCCATAAGGGTGTTGACACTTGGCACGTTTCTGGAAAACACGCACGTTGAGGAAAAGGTGAGCACGATTGCTTTAAATGTCTGGAAAGAAAGTTTTTTTATACAGCAATAGCTGAATTTAGGTTTATGGGCATCGAAGATCTCTTATTCATAAAAGCTCGTCGTGGAGTCTCACTACTTACGTGTATCCATCTCTGTTGAAAGTGGTATTATGGGAATGCATGAGCGGGAAATGCTCCATTTTGGGCAAGAGGGCCCAGGATGGACGGTAGTAGCATTGCTCGGTGATCTTGAGCGGTGGTAGACTCTGGCTGGGTAAGCAGGAGAGCGGAGCAAACATGGAGGAGCCGATTTGTGGCTGAATAGAGAAGATATGAGTGGAAAATATCAGTCAATCAATTCACAACATAGATGACAAAGTAAAAAAGGCAGTCTGTTATTCGGTCACTGTCAACACTTCTAATATCATAATACTAACCGTAGTACAGATTATTAGCAAACTACAGGTACCAGTGAAAGAACTCCAACGTGATGTGTGAGATGGATCAGCTGATCAGGAGCTGTGAGCCAGTAAACAAGTCCTTGTAGTGACTTTCCCTTGATGAGTTTTAAATGGATAAAGGTAATTAATCAGCCCAAGTCCTTATTCTCATTCTAAAAGGGTCATTTCCTCACTTCACACACTTGACGATGTTGGTACCTGGGCTCTTAATTGGGGATCAATCCCGCCTCCTCACCTTGAGATCCTCCATCCCGGGACTGGCCAGGCCCTCGTCCATCTCCATCCGGTATTCGGTAAACTGGGAGGAGGCCAAAGGCAGCAGGTGGTCCGCCGCTCCGCTGTGCACGGGGGGCTCTTGGCTCGGTGTGTCGCGGTACGTGGTGGCGGGGGAGAAGGCCGGGTGCTGCTCTAAGGAAGGTGGGGTGGGAAACATCCTCTGGAGGTCTGCTACTGCTGAAAGGAGAGAGATGTGGATAAAGAGATGGAGGAGGAAAGAAGTTTACAAAAGGTATGATTGGAGAAAACGTAAAAACTGTAGTTGGATAGAAAATGTATTTCAGTAAATGCTCATTGAAGTGACTCACTCGATGGATACGGTACAGCAACTCTCCCTTCTTTGCCCAGAGGACGGTCTTCTGTGGACACTGGTAGCTTGCTTGAGTGCTGGTTGGGGTAAACAGTCTACAAATTATGACACATAATATTGGAGGATCAGCTTTAATTAAATTATTGTTTGCGGAAAAAAAAAAAAAAACTGTTGGTAAGTCGGACAGTGTGTCTCACATTCTGTTTGTGTGTCAGAATATAGTACATAAACAATGACGCCTCACCCCCAACTCTTCCTCATCTTCATCAAATATGTTGTCTAGATCAGAGATGTTGACCACCAGATCTTTTTCTCTGGTCAGAGAAGGGTTGGCCTTGGCGGCTCCATCGGCATCCTGTCCGGATTCTTCTAAAACAACACAAGCATAATGGCTCAACAACAATTGCGATCAGTATGATGCAGAAGACGTGATTGATGTTGAAGGCGGCGCCTTTGGCCCACCTGATTTCGGAGCAGAGTTAAAAATAGACATTGCATCGTTCCCATCAGGCAGTGCTCCGTTGCTGGTGATTTCTTCTCCCTGATGCAGAAAATAAGACAACAATAAGAATATCTTCAGCCGTAGATCTTCTGAATCTAAATAAATAAATATAATTTAAAACTATGACCTACCTTGGCCTTCTTGCTGGGTTCTCGTCCCTGACCCTTTAACCGCTTTGAAGAGGAGAACGTGTACTCGATGTCTCCCTCCTTAAAGTCGTAGGGGTCCTCCCCGGGCTCCCGCAGCACCTCCACACCTGACTGCTGGAACAGGCCCAAAGTGTGGATGTGGTCCCTCACCCGCTCCTCTGAGATCTTAAATCTCTTGTGAGTCTGTGTATATAGCCTGGAGGAGACAAAGGGACAAATGAAACAGAGTAACGTGTAGTCGTAGCAGTTCATTTCTGGTCTCATGAATAACTCTTCTCATTTCACTGGTGGGGTTTCTCTCCACCTACCTCTTCAGCAGAGCTCCTTCGGTCGCCGCCTCCGTCTTCACCTCCTCTAGGACGTCCGTGGGGAGTTCACAGGGCCTGCAGTCGGTCTCATCCGTCCTGGGTGTCCTGAAGCCTCTCCACCAGCCGGCCCCGTTCTCCCTCTGCCTCAGCAGCGCTGTGTACACTGCCGTTTCGCTGGCGATCAACCCCAGGCCCGCGGCGCCGTCCTGACAGAGGGGAACATCCGCGGGCCCACCCAGGACCTCCGGGTCCTGCACCCGGGGGTGCGGGCTGAGCGTGGGCGGAAGCGGAGACATCGGCGAATGCAGGAGGGACTCGGGGGCTTTCCTGCCGTTGGGGAGGAGCTTGGGATACTTGCAGCTGGGCAGAGCAGAAGGAGGCTCCGAGGGCGGCTCCAGGGCCACGAGACCCCCGAGCTGAGGCCCTCCTGCTGGGTCCTGTTCCAGAGGGGTCTCGCGGGAGACAGACAGGCGGTGGTGGAAGGAGGTCACGGCTGGCCTCTTGGACTGTTTATCAGCCTTCTCCGTCTTGTCACTGGTCTTGTGTTTGGGCAGGGAGGGGGGGTATAGCGACACGCCAGAGGACTGTGTGGGATTGGCACTGGTCTGGGGGTTGGCGCTGGCGGTCAGATTCAACTTCTGCTGCTTCAACCTGCAACAAAGTCACGGTGGATGTTAGGGAATGATTACAGAGATGTAGCCCCCCCCCCTCTGTGTTTTTTTCCTGCTGAGCAGTATTGGTCTAGTTATTTTAAAGTTTATCTTGTGAACGGATTGATCTTTCCTGCAGCTGCGGTCGTAGTTTTTGTGCACACTGTATCGTAGGGTATAAATATAACTGGTGTTTCTCTGTGGTACCTGGAGCAGCTGCAGGACACTCTCCCTCCCAGATCGCTGAAGTCCCAGCCGGTTACTCCACTAGGCGCGTCCTTCTTAAGCGATACGCCAGTGTGAGAGTTTAATCTACAAAACAACAAAAAAAAACTAAGCTTGAGGGCGCCGCATCGGCTGCATCACGCAAACCACGGGAACGAACCCGGCGACGGTTGGACTTACGCGTGCTGAGGCTGGGTGAGATAGCATTCCCTCCAGGCTTGCTGGACTACCTGAGAGGTTAGCTTTTTCCCAGAATGCTTTGGGCTGGCGCTGGCGACCCCCATGCCGCTGTCTGGCGTGGGGACGTTGGAGATGGACGTCACGAAGCCGCTGTCCGCTGAAAGGACAAAGGGTGCAGCAGACGTCATGAAGCAGGACGGCGCATGTTTCTGTACGAAGGTGTGTGTGTGTGTGTGTGTGTGTGTGTTGTACCGGAGCAGGGCTGCTGCGGCGACGCTGGCGGCGTGAGCGGCACGCTGCAGTGGTTCAGCTCCCTGCTGAGGCCCTGAGTTGCAGGAACAGGTGGAGACTGCTCCAGCGGCAGGTCCCCCTGGGCGATCAGCACTAAAGCAGCTGGGTAGGTCATCCTTACTCCACCTAAGCCGACGGAAAGGAGCATCAATCACGGCAGTCAGTTAAAACGAAAGCTCGTTTTTTTAAGCATTTTATTACGCCTCAAATACCTTAGCGACCGATCACGTCTATTAACATGTTGCTGAAGAAACAGATTTAAGGATCTTTACACCAAATGCAGTCGACTTGCTCCTCATCCATTGACGCACCGTCGCTGCTCACATTAAACACGCATCAGCAGTCCTTTCCGTACCTACGATGACCTCCACCGCCGCGTGGCAGTTGCGATCGTAGCTTTGGCTTGCTTCTCCCTTCTCCCTTTCTCCGCTTCCCTCCCTGAGCGGCAGCACCACCGGGTAGAAGTAGCTCCACTCCTCCATCAGCTTGCGCGTCGCCGGGTCGCTCATCTTGAAGGCCTGACCGGTCAGAGTGCCGCTCAGGCCGTACGGGCTCAGGATGACTGCAGGGTGGGTGGGAACGGACGGTGAGAACGGAAGTCGGCCAACCGAGCGATTCATCCGACTGATCGGCGGACGACTGACCTTGTAGCGGCGTGACGGAGGCCTGCGCCAGGCGGACGTGGTGCTCTGTGACGTGGTACGCCGGCTGGTGCTGGGCGATCTCCACGCTGGTGCACACGTTGCTCTCGCCGTGGAGGAAGAAGGAGAAGGAGCACGAGAGGTGTTCGCTGGAGACGGAGGGCGGTTAATGATTTTAGAATGAGAGACCTCAGAGAAACACCAGGGGAACGAGGTGGTGTGATGGGTCGTCTGCTCGTGGAAAGATGGGAACAATATACCTTCACGACATGAAAAATGTGGCAAAACGAGTTTGGAGTGTAAAACAGAATCTGCTTGTTTCTTTTCACAGCGGTTAACCGTAATTTAATTTAAATTTGAAATGCAATCAAAATCACATTTAATCGTGTTAAATTTGAGATTAACTCACAACTCACACACGCTATAACGCAAACGTACAACAGGGATGCGCTGATCTTTTGCCCGGCAGCATGACAGATGACGAGCGCTCTGATCCAAACAGCAATTTAGAGAGCAACACTGAGAGCGCGCCTCTGCAAAAGCCTCGCTCAGCTCTACCGGCGTTGATCAAACTCAGCATTCCCGCCTTATTGCAGGTATAAATCCTCATTTGCTCGTGAGCGATTGTGGCGACTACATGTTTACGTATGCAGAGCTCTCTTTATTATTACACAGCACCGGGCATAGTTCATCACGCATTGCTCATTTTTTTTTTAATCACTGAGGAGGAATTGCTGGGGTCTTATTGCAATCTACATACCAGTGGGCGGGCTGGACATCATTAACAACCACCAGGGCCTCACTGATGCAGATCTTCAATCCATAAAACTCCTTCCCGCCTTGGTTTGCAAACATCAGCCGCAGCAATAATGTCAGCGGATTCTGTAATCTCCGCGTGATTACCCTCCTGCCGATGCGACATCGTTTGGCCGGAGGGAGCCGGACCGCCGTTTGAGCCGTAATGGTCGTGCAAAAATCAATTAAAAAAAAAGGCCGGTTTCACAGTCACTCATGGGCAGAACTGAACACGGTCTGGAGGGAGCCAAATATCTAGTGATGTTGGCCGCCGCAGCCTCCAGATGGCGCCGAGTGTCCCCGAAGAGGGAAGAAGGGGCCGATTTCTCTGCTTCATAAACATTCCTGATGCTCCCGGTGAGATGAAGAGACACCCTCGTGGTGGTTTAAACACTCGTACTCCATCACAGGAGGAGAAGAGCTGGAGCGCATTCAGATCCACGCACGACCACCAGTCACACACTGCGGTCCTTGGTGCATCGTCACACGTATGAATATTGAACGAGTCCAATTGTCTCATAGGTCAACAGTAATAAGTTATTTCCTTATATGGGCAAACACAGCTGATGGCACGTGAGATAAATACGTTTTTTTCCTGTGATTGGATTGATTGATCAATACGTTTGCATGTATTTCACTGTAGAATGAAATAAGGCTGTGAAATGAAGCATCCATTAGAATTGATTACCACTCTTGTGATGATAGTTCTGTTTATGCTGTTATTATATATTTTTACGGGATGTTTGTGCGCCGACCAGGACCGATGAGAGTACAAAAACATTAATCCCTCAAGGCTCCTTTTAAAAAATGTCAAATTCTTGGCAATCGCTGCTGTTCTTTCTTTGTATTGTCGTCTATTTAGCTGTCATGATATCAGAGATCCAGAATAATTAATGGCTGAATACTTTTGATATGTGAGGAGGATTTTTTTTTGTGTGTTCTGATAAACAACTGTTGAATATTATGTATAAAGAGTCAATCAGTCTTCATTAAATAATATGTGATTATTATGAGCCAAGAGGAATTACAGCTGCAATAAAGTGAAATTAAATGTGACTCAGGGAAAAGCAGAACCACAAAAAGAGCATCAAACTGTGGGCCGACGCAGCTGCTAGATTGATGCTCTCTGTCCTTTTACAAAAGGGCATTTTTCTGCACAGTAAGCGAGTGCGACTGTGTGGACAGGCTGGGCTTCTTGCATCCTTGGGGGACATTTGTGCACTCACCAAGAGTGCGTGCGTGTTGTTTTTTTTGTTTTTTTGTCGTACATGTGTGTGTGAGTGCAGTGGACAGAGATGTGAGGCAGCTGTGTGTGCTGAGCTGCACGAGTACAGGTATTAATAAATGAAGAGGAGTGATGGTTAAGACTCGCCTCAGGGCTGACAGTGTGCTGGAGAGATGTAGAGAGAGGAGGCAGAGAGGGAGATAGGGGGAGACGAGGGGGGGGATTAGAAAAAAAGAAGTGAGAGGAGGAGGAGGCGCAGGAGGAGGAGGAGGAGGAGCAGGGCGGAAAGAAAGACAGCAATTGAAGAAGATGGAGACAGAGTGAGCATTAGAGGTAAAGCAATTAAGTGAAATGCATCAACAGGAGATGAAAAGTGGAAAATAGAGAGTATAGAGAGGATATGAGGACGACGCGGGAGGAAAGATACAGCGCAAGATGAGCGCGGAGAGCAAAACGAGGCCGAGCGAAAGAGGAGGAGGTGAATAATTCAGTGCCACGCACTACAATTGCTGCACACATATCGATGAGATCAGTTTTAATGGGAGGCTACTGAGCACAACGTTATGGTGAAATCCATCAGGGAATGGAGATCTGGGGACACATACAAACACACGCAGAAACGTTTGTTCGGCTTTGTGCGTACGGTAAGTGCCGGGTCTTATGTGTGCCAATATGTCTGTATGGCATCCGCGTCGACAAGAATGTGACCGCAGACGCACTGAATGTGCACGTCACAGTCCCGTTTAAATGCCACTGAAACAAAAGGAGGTGAACGCAGCCGCGTTACATGTGACAGCGCGTGTGTCAGCAGGGGAGCCCGTTCATGTCCCGCATGCATCACGGACTCGACACACATGTTGCGCGTCGAATCACACACACACAAAGCAGGAGTGATTCTCTCAGGTTGTGGGGACTCCCTCACGTTTAACCCGGTGGAAGTGAAGAATAAGTAAATAAATAAAACAAGATAATATTAGTGATAAAATGCTGGCGATCGTGAAGGAAAAGGTGCACAAAACACTTTTTCCCCCTACGGTTCTCTTCATCTAAAGCCTGTGATGTGATAACTTTGTTTACACGTCGTTAACAGTCAAATGCACTAAGCAGGCATGACAGGCACTTTGTTAGACTCACAAATCTGGGGGATTAATCTCCTTAATCTGCACCTTAAATGCCCCGTCTGACGCCACGGCAGCACCGTTGTGAGTCATCTGCAGCTTTCTAGCTGCGTAACTCTTCCCACATATTCCGACCGAACACCGACTCTGTCCACAAAGAGAGTTCTTCCACTTCCACTGCACAACCCCACCAAGACCCAATCCAACCAAAAGTCTCAAGACTCGCGGGTGGGTCGGCATGTGTTCCCGCGCGCCCTCGTGACACGACGCCAGCGTTAACACGAGCGTAAGGGGGATGCAGTCGGCCTGATGGATTATTCAGCGGCTCCCGGCGGGTGGTTTTTAGCCAGCGGTTGCGATCACAATGCCTTTGCTCAAACACAGCTGCAGCTACGTGTATGTGGATTCACAGGGAAAAGGTGCTGCAGGAGGAACCGCGTGCATACGTCGCCCTTTCTGTGGGGACGCAAAGCAAAATTGGATCCTCGTGAGTCCTGAAACACAGAATACTGGCTTTTACCTTCATGTCTGTGGTCCTCATTAAAAAAAAAGAAAAGAGGGAAAGGATCTGTTGGAAGGCTGTTGCTGTGATGTATCACCATCCTCTCTATTGATCTAGGATGGGTTTTTCCTCTTCCCTTTCTCTCCCTCCCAGTGGTTCTACCTGCTAATATTAGAAATATGGTGGATAGACCTTCTCAACCCCATAAACAACACGTTTCAAAAAGGAGAAAAATGCATTTCAAGTGATTCCAATATTCAACAGCGGTGAGTGACGGGATGAGAAATAAATGACTTAACTCACTGAACTAAGTCTGCATAGAACCACCCAGAGTTTAGGTGTTTTTTAAGCCCCTAAAAAGCACCTGGAGACCAAACATCGCAATAACATGTTTATTCATCTTAACTTGCTCATTGTTCTTGTGGTTTGTTTACATCTGTCTGTTTATGATTCAATTTGATCAAATTTCTCTTCATATTAGGAAAGACTTTGTACGAATCCCCCTGGCTCCCTTCCTCGCGAGCACTTATTTATTCTCCGTGCTATTTTAATTGTGCAAATGAATGAAATTAAACACGCTCGGCACCGGTTACATTATTTCACAGGACTAATAAGAGATGAATGCTGCTGAAATGGTGGTATGAGAAAAAAATGGTTTTGATATAGATTTTTGTTGTTGTTTATATTTCTGTATGATTCTATGACCTTGTGATGTGAGCCAACAGCAAATCTTTGTTGCCAAGGAGATGGCTAATATTTCAATGTCATTTCTCCCTGGGGAGGAGCGCAGTCTTGTTCTCTTAGGTCAAGTGAGGATTTCTGTGTTTTTTTAAATAAAGCACTTTAAAACCCTTTGCGTCACACCGCAGCACCGCTCTCTCACACAGTAAAATATACCGGTACATTATTTATGCATGAGTATACGGACATTAATATCAATGGGAGCACCTAGATTAACAAATATACTGTGTGGCGTATTTGCCATGCATAGAATTGACAGAACTAATGAGAGCGACGGTCCTTAATACGTCCATTCAGCCGTCTATAGTAATGATTAATTTACGACCCCCCATCTTCTCTAAAGCCCCACCACACACACACACACACACACACACTCACACACACTCACACACAGCCTCCTCCCTGCTCCTCTTCCCTCTCCTGCATCTTCCTTTATGCTCTCTGTATCCTTGTTCCTCTCTCCGTTGCTCCCCTCAGCGTCTGATGCAATCCGTTACCAACCCAGAGTGCCTTCCTCTTATTCAGACACAAAGAGAGCATGAGTGTTGTGCAGAGAGGAGGAGAAGGAGGAGGAGGAGGAGGAGGAGGAGGGCGGGTGGGGGGTGTCCTGGATGTGCCAATCCTCACTGTGCCCCCCGGGACACATAGGAGATAAACACCAGATAAGCCTTACAAAAGGTGGCGGCGCCAAGGCATGGGAGCTGGCACGGGTAAAGGGGGGCGGGGGGGCATGGATGTTGGCGCCGAAGCGCCCCCTATTGGGGATCAGAGGAACGTGTGTGGGAGTGAGGAAGAGACAAAGGAGCTGGTTGCAGCTGAGGCAGGAGGTCAGTGTACGCCTAACTGAGCAATGCCCCCCCCTCAACCCAATGGCATCGCATGGCAAGGGGTCCTTAAGGCTCACCCTGTCAATAGCAACACTGCTACCCCTTAGACAACGTGACACACGCAAACGCCTGCAGGGCGCAAAAAGCATGCAGCAGCAGCAGCGCGGACAGACACACGGCGCTGCAGACGTCGGCGTAACATTTGTATTTGTTAGCGCTCCCTCCTTCTCCCCGTCTCCCTCTGTGTGTCTCCAGCCAGGACGCTCGGTAATTCGCAGGCAGAACAAGTCGGCATTGGCTCAGCAGGGGGCGTAGCAGCTGACAACATGCTCATATAGAGCTGTCAAAATGAGGAGGATTTACACGCTGCACAAAAGAGGCGCACTCCCGTGTAAATCTCTGCGCCGAAGCGCTCAAGTGTATATTCAGAGAAAGACACGGCAGTTAGCACACTGATGGGCCTGTACGCTGCGCTGCTATTTGCTAGCTTGTAACGTTAGTTCTATCCGGTTGCAGTGGTTTTGTTTTTCGAAGCCCTTTCAATCTGCTAATTCAACCTGATGCCCTTGAGTCCTACGCTGAAGCAGCTTTTCCCCCTTTAATTCATCCCTTATATCTGCAATATATTTGACCATTATAGTGCTTTTAATGAGCTCTTTCAGGTAAAAACACACATCGCTTTGTAGGACACACTGAGGGAGTGAAAAAGAACTAAACAGCCGCTACAGACACGGCAGCAGACATGGAACACCTGTGTCAACTTACCAGAGCTAAAGTTCTTTGTTGCGCAATTTACGGCCCTCCAGTTTAAAAAAAACCCCACAAACATAAAAGAAAGAATATCTTTACAAGCGCTGACAGATTTCTAAAATAAGCAATGGGACAGCTAAGTGGTTTTCCCGCTTGGATACATTTCTGCAGCGCCGAGCGACGTAAGGAATGTTGCATCCTCACCAGCAGAGGAGGTTGAAGTGGGCCGACTGTAATGGCTGAAGCAACGAGCCGAGCAGCCGTCATCACACCCACCCCTCGTTTTTACCGTTTCAGTCTGTCTCTGACTGTCTCCCACATTGCCTACACGCTTAGACAACGTGACACACACACACACACACACACACTTCAGAGAGAGAGAGAGAGAGAGCTGTGAGAGCTCGACTCACCTCTCACGCTTTTTTTTCCCCCCCCTGACAGTTTCACACCATGAGCCAGCCGTTGGAACATCAAGGAAAGGGGGACTCGAAAAATACTGAATCACACCAAAGCCATTCATGCTGCTTGGCTGTGTCACACCCGGTCGCACACAACACGGACCTCTGCGGTGTGCATTTCCCACGGACCGACATGCATGAGACTGTGTGGCGCACACAAAGCGTGCAGCAGCAGCAGAGACAGAATGCCAATGAGGTGTGCGGGCGGGTGTGTGTGTGTGTGTGTGTGTGTGTGTGTGTGTGTGTGTGTGTGTGTGTGTGTGTGTTTGTGCGCGTGCGTGCGCATTAAAAGTTCTCACCTGTTGCCCAGCGACTTTTCTTGCAGTTCGTGTGGCTTGAAAAACCATTTGCCGATCCGCACAAACCCCTTATCCATCAGACATCTGCAGCAGGGGAGAAGGAGAGAACAGAGGAAAGGAAAAAAGTAATCAGACGAGGGAAAAAAGGAGAGCCAGGAAATGGGTTTAATACACTTCCACCGCGGAACAGTGCAGCACGCAGCATCCGGAGAGGCTTCAATTCCACTCAATGGTGATTCTGTTGTTTAGGATTTCACCACGATACTGATTCTCAATGACAATAAGACCGCTAAGCAGTTTGACGTGGATTTGAGTCCTTCGTCTGACGAGGGCCGAGAGAAAAACTTGTAGGATTCAAAAAGTCGCTGGTCTCGGTGTGCAGGTGCCAGTGAATTCCCAGCTGGAGCCTCTGACCCGGGTCAAGGAATTACAGAACGCGTTTGTGGACTCCTCTGCACTCCGCTGAGCAGAGCATCCGCAGCTTTTAGCCCCGCAGCTCTAAGCGTCTTTGGTTCAGTGTTATCGACCCCGGACAATTCATTTCAGAAGAAGATCAACTCGGAACCGGTACTTCAAGAGGATTGGTTACATCCTGGCAGATACCCAAACAGCCTAATAAAAGGTCGGTATTGGCCACGATATCAATCGTGTGGATCGGATCAATGTGCATGGTCACTTTCACTGGAGCTCGAGCGCAGGAGGCATTGTGAATGTTAACGCTGCTTTCTGTCCATGGAGAATCTACGCTAATGCTGAGACAGCACTTTCAAATGCTGGCTCACAGAAACACTCCTGGTGAAATGATTATTATCATCACGTGGCTCAAGTTGTGTCCACGCACACGCCTTCCACCCTCCCTTCATTATTATTATTTTTTTTTACACCGTTAAGAGGACTCATAAAAACCCGGGACGAAAACAAGGCGTGTGTGTTTGATTGACAGGCGTCTCAAGCTTTTCACACACATTTAATTGAGCTGTTGATTTTGTGGGCAAAACTTTTTATCAAACTCTAAAGTCCTAGTCTTGTTTCATTTATTCCCCGTTGTATACTTTAGATATACTAACCTTATGCTAACTGAGTTGAATACATTGTTCATCATTATGTCTGTTCAAGTCTTTTCCAGAAGAAGAAGTAAATTGTAGAGCCCCGTAGTCAGTGACCATGACAGACCGGTTAATACTTACATTCTTATTCAGTACCGAATGTACGTTGTACTATTAGTTCTTGTCTTCTGAAAGTTTTTTTTTATTCTGTGTTTGGTTTACTGAATTATTCATGTTTTCTTTATTTGTAATTGTTTGCTTAAAAAAGTATGAATTTAAAAAAAATGTAATAAAAATAATAATTATTATAAATTAAAATATTAAGTCACTCAGTGACAGATCAATTTGAGCTGAACGATATGAAAGAGAAAGTGAAAATAATCCATCCTGGAAATAGTGAGCTATAAAAGGAGTTAGCTTCAAGGTAATAGGAAGGTTAATTCAACCTGCCCCCTATGATGATCACTGATGCCTAACCTAATAGAGAGCAAATATGTGCTGCTTCATTTAACAGAGGGCTCTGACTCAGTAAGAAGAGCTTTGGGTACTTGAGCAAGTGATTCAGCGCTCAGATTATAATTTCATTAAGGGGAAGCTGCTGGAGAAAACTCAAACCGTCAATAGGACAAAAAGTTCTTTTGTTTAGTGGTTTTTCTTATTACTTTGAAATTATGTTCTTGTTCATTTAGGAGACAAGTTTACCTTCATTTTACAATTTTAATTATAGATTAATGTGTAATTCAACTTTGATTCATTATTTGTATTTATAAAATGGCACATTCACTTTTTACACAGTATGCTCATCTCTGATTTTTTTTTACTTTAACTTCCTTAATCAACATGCATAAGCTCTTTAGAAAAAACACAGCAGTAAATAACGCCTTGATGAATGTTTTTTATCGCCCCATAATGCAGCGACACACAGCTCGTCGACAACAACAGTAACAAGCTTTATATCATTATAATTGCATTGTCATGCAGCATCTGTTAATACAGCAGCCTCCACTTGTTGGTGCCCAGAGAGATTTCAGCTTTTTAAAAAAGCATTAATGTCAATTTCAGAGTGCAAATCTCTTAATACTGCTATACTGTTAGATCCTCAATAAACTATTTTTTGTTATGCAACGTGTTTTCATATTTAATGTAGGTCGTTCAGCAGCGCTTCCTCACCTTTCCAGCAGGTTGTGTATAGCCTTGAACAGGAGGGTCCGGCACTCGTAGGACAGGCCGCACTCCCAGAGACCCTCCTCAGACACTGGAAGGAAAAAAGCGGAGAAGACAATCAGGAAATGAATGAATCTCACCTCATTTCATGATCTCCACGATAAAGAAAAGTTACGATACTTTCTGTGACAGCGAAACATCTGCGAGCACCAGCTTGAGGACCATAAACAAGACGTGATTTGGCGTCTAACTGCACGTGTTTATGGCCCCCTCTGTCAAAACATGCTGCATGTGCTGACGAGGAAACCTGCACATCATATCAGAATTGCACTGGAGATGTGTGTGTGTGTGTGTGTGTACAGCTGTCAGGTCGGCTGCAGTGACAGCCCAGTAGAACCCCATGCAGTTGTCAACAGCAGTTAGCTGGAGTGTGAGTGCGGGCTCACACACACACACACACACACACACACACACACACACACACACACACACACACACACACACACACACACACACACACACACACACACACACACACACACACACACACACACACACGCCCGCGTGCTCGGGTTCGTACACGCATGCAGAGCTCCAACGCAACCCTTGTTTTTTTTGTTTCTTTTTGCCTCTGTGTAATTTAGACAGCTGGAGACAAACCGCGGTCGGCTGCTCTCTGCCCCGGCGTTCTGACACGTCTGCAGCCGCGTCACGTGTGTCGGATGTGTTGTGAACATTTCAGCGGCCTTTTGATTTCTTCAGACCCCCTCGACACCAACGCCCAACACCCCCGTACCAAGAAGGACCCACTAACACACACACACGCACGCACAGCGGCCAGCTAACAGCGGTTCCCTTTGTTCTTTGCCATATACCTGCAGGGCTCCAGGAAGAACTGGAGTATTGTGGGTGTTGTGTTTGCTTTTAGGGAGGCGGCAAACAAAACCAAGCATCGCAGAAATATATAAGAAAAAAAGCAAAGGGAGGCAGAGGCAGATTGCCTGGGGGATGGGTGGCATAAACCCCAGTAGAGGTTCTCTCTTTCTCTCCCCTCATTTTGTGTGCGAGTGCGTGTGCGTGTGCGTGTGTGTGTGTGTGTGTGTGTGCTCCTTTCACTCTCTGTTGCTTTGTTGATATTTCACTCCTGGGTTATTTTTTTTCTTCTTCTTCTTCTTCTTCTTCCTCCTCATACCAGAGTGAATGAAATTTCCTTACTCGCCAGAATTACCCTGTAACCATGGAAACGCTGGCGGTGAGAACATGGCGCCCTGGCATTCAATTCCAACACTGGTCCCTCCCGCCCATCGCCCTCCTCCTTCTCCTCCTTCCTCTGTTCTATTGCTTCCAACACCCCCTCCCCACCCGCCCCCCACCAACCCTCATCTACTCCTGCTTCAGGGCTCAGACAGGAAGCTCGCTCTAGCCAGCTCCTCCACAGAGGGGAGAGATAGAGTGAGCGCCACGAGCAGAATGCCAAGTCTCAAGCAAATACAGCTCATTAGCTCTAACTGTCTCTCTCTCTCTCTCTCTCTCTCTCTTCACAATCCCACTGCTTTTTTTTTTTTTCCAATCGCATCTTTCATCCGCGCTCGTCACAGCCGACTCGCAGCAGGGCTCTTGACCCCTGGCGACTCAGCGATTGTCCCCGGACGCCTCCAATCTCCCCCCAACCCCCAAAAGAACTCTGAGCTACGAGTCGACAAAGCCGAGCATCATCCAAACAGATGGACCTAAACTAACTTCTCCACAGTCGCACCCCGTAATTTGTGCGTGTGGTTTTGTAGCACTTAACAGAGCAGGTACAGTGTGGTCGCATGCTCGGGCGCCTGAAAACACGCGCATTGTAGCCGTGACTGAGCCACATCAACGCAGAGCGGAACCAACAACACACAACCTCACACAAACATCATTGATATGGAAAACGGCGCGTGAAGTGAAAACATCCGATAAATTAAAAAAAAAAAAAAAAGGGGGGTTTTCTGCAGGGCTGCGTATAGAACATCGTGAACCTGTCGATTCATCAGCAGCCAGTCAGTCAGTCAGTCAGTCAGTCAGTCAGTCAGTCAGTCAGTCAGGGGCCGTCGTGTGTGGAGCTTTTACTGCCTGTTAATCAGGAGGAACACAGATGGCCTGAGGGGGAAATGTGCGCCGTGGACAGTAAATGCATAGCGAAGTGCAATAGGGCTTAAACGCATCGCGATCCATCACAGTCTGCGCTACAGGCAGCTACGGCATCATGTTTGAGTCGCAATTAGATTCAACTGGAATCATTTAAAAAAATATATTTTTTTAATGATTATGACTGATAAAGCCACAGCTTCTTCTTTCTTCCCTTTAAAAAGAAACCGATCCATAAAAAGAAATGTAATTACTTCCCGATTGTAAAAGTAAGCCATAGAAAGTGAAGAAAGAAACTAGGGAATTGAGAATAAGTGGGCTGACTGATAACCATCAGACTCCTGTTTAGTAAGTACAGATAAGTATTTTATGAAAGAAGAATTTATCAAATAACAGTTAAGCAACAATTTCCGAAAAATAGAACACACCAAAGTGTCCAACCTGCACAGACATCACGTCTATATAACACTCCAAAAATGAAACTCAGAACGGCGTGCTCATGTGCGTCCATATTTACGGGTACGCATGGTCCCGGTGTGTTTGTGCTTTTACGGCGTGTGTGGACATGTCGGTGTGAGAGCAACGTCGGGCATCAGAATTGTCAAAAGCATTAAGTGCATCTTGCTTCGTGCGGCTCCCAGAGTGCCTTTAGTGCACATGCAAGCTCTGGGGCAGCGGGGTGTGTGCGAGCGCTGCACATATATTCACGTGTGTGAGCCTACAGTGAGGGTAACGTCCCCCCCCCCCCGCATGCCCTTAACTGCTGCGCCGCCTCAAACACAAACAAGCAGTGATGGAACTGGGTCGCCGCCGCCGCCGCCGCTTTCTACACGTGCGTCCCTCCATCTTTCCCCGTTTCGTCTCCCTCTTCTCGCAGTGAGTCCTGAGCCCTCGCTCACTTTCACACAACTCTGCTTCCTTCACTCCCACGGAGGTGTTGGTGTGACGCCACTAGAGGGAGTGACCACTCGCCACTACGACAAAAACACAAAGGCGGTATTGATCAGTGAGGGAGAAGGCAGGAGCGTTCCTCCCCTTCCTTCCCCTCCTCCTCCCCCCCGGCAATACCACCAGTCGTATTGGCGTCCAGTGGTGTCTCTGCAGTGCGCAAGCCCTGAACAATACATGGGCAGTGTGTGTGTGTGTGTGTGTGCGCGTGAGATTTGACACAAAACCCCACTGCCACTTTGCTAATTAGATACTCTGCTGCATGTCTGAGCAGAGGTTGGTCTCTTGTCTGTGTGTGTGTGTGTGTGTGTGTGTGTGTGTGTGTGTGTGTGTGATTTGGTGTTGGTGCATAGCAACATGCCTCAGTATGCTTACGTGTTTTCACTAATAGAGCGAGCGCTTGAGAGAGGACGAGCATAATGAGTGCGCGGCGGAGGGCGTTATTGCCAAATATTGTGAAAGTCATAAAAACGTCATCTCGGCGCGTCATCTTCCTTGATATTGATTCACAACTGTAGGCTTGTAGGATTTCATGTTGCAGTTCAGTTCAAACGTTACTTTCCTTCCGCCGTATTTGACCATTCGGATTCGTTTTGGCCTCTTTGGACACAGTTGCATTATCAGAATAACAAAAAGAGGAGAGCGCAGGAGGGGAACAGGATATGACGGCGAGCAGTTCGCCGTCTTTGTTTCCGGCCGTTAATAAGCCAATCGTGTGCTGCATTGCTCCGTCACGGAGTCGTAGTTGATGCAGCTACGCCAGCTGAGAACAGAAAATAAGATTCTTCATTCTAGACTCACTCAAGTAGAGACGGGGAACAAAAACGTGTCGACTTTTCCACTCCAGGAAGTTTGGCTAGAACTCAGGATGCTGGGAGACTCTCTATTGCCTCCAAGAAATACTCCCCAAGTATATAACTCCAAACGTGACAGTTACCCCCTATTATGTCATCTTACCTTATGATGTAATGTAAATGTAAATGGAATGTAATTATGGACGGAATATTTGTCATTCGGTAAATCAACGCACAATTGTACTGTCAAACTCATACATTCCTTCACGAATACGTGTATGCAAAAGCGAGGTTGGCTGCACACACGGCAGACACTAAGACCCAGAAAGATGGACGCAACGAGGAGTAGTGACACCGAGGAGAAGGGGGGGGAGGAGGAGGAGGAGGAGGCTCACACAGAGTGAAGGGATGAGGGGAAAGTCTGGAATCAATTAGGTGACTGAGCCGTAGTTGCTCGCATAGTTGTGGGAAGTGAGTCAGGCGGAGCGGCGAGCGAAGGGACCAGGGTGTGAACGTGGTGCCACGAACATATGCATTCGCACAAACACGGGCACGACGAACAAAAGCGCCGCGCCGCGGCCGCTCGCCCGGGCAACGTTTCACGCGCGTTGCATTGAATCGGCCTGGTCGCGCTTTGGACGCTTCTCTCTCTCACTCGACGGCACGGCGGAGGAGTCGAGTTGCAGCCCCACCTCTCCTGGGCGGAGGTCAAAGCGGAGGGTAAGAACGGGGCGGCTGGCAGCGACCCAGGCCCCTCACACAACTTCCCCTAGTTCCCCTCGCGGCATTCGCAGCGCTTCGTTACACGTCGCTGGCTCTGACAACGGGGGAAATTTGACTTGAATGAAAAGAAGAGGAAAAAAAATAAATAAAAAATGTTTTGCAAAAACAGGAACTTTGTGAGCGCGGAACGCTTCCATCCAGCTGAGGTTCGCAGAACAGATCTGAATTTGCGGACGTGACAATACGCACAGAATATGAATCAAGTCACTTTGAGGGGAACACATTGCGGTTCACTCACATGGGTTCTGCTACACAGCGGCTCACACTGCTGCCAGCCGGCACCAGGTGTGAATATTAGGAGCTTAAACCATCGCTGCTGCTGGCGTGCATGAGGCATACTAATGAGGAGAGGACACGCAAGCGGAGGGTCACTGTATGCGTGCCGGCTGCTCGTGCCGAACGGCTTAGAAGATTGAGGGGCGATTAAGAAGACGTTACACAGATTAAG